CACACAGAGGCGGCTTTTCCCGGTCTTTCAATACAATTATCAATTATAGCAGTATAGTTCTTGAAATATGGAAACGCTTCATTCTATAAATATTTATACAGCTGAATAAAAATCTCTTTTAAATTGCTGAGAACTTTGTATTTTTTTCTTATAGTTGCACCAGCTAGTAGCGACATTTTTTTTTCTTTTCTTGCGCCAGAATCTAACGCGGATTCAGGATGCAGAAAACATGCTATTAGATAGGTAAAATATTGTCGCCAAACCCTTAAATATTATGCGTTACAAAAATATTTATATAAAACAGAAGTAGAGGTGACAAAATGTTCAAAAATAACGTAAAAAAATATTAGCCTCGCGGTTCCTTCTGTAACTTAAGATGTCCAAAAAGCACATTTAACGATAATGTTAATTACCAAAAAATAACATTTAATAAACTAAAATAAAATAAAAACACAAGATTTAAATAAAACATTCACAAAATATTTGAATATCAAGTTCAACATAGTTTAAGCTCGCGGTCCCTTGTGTTGTCATGAACCATCGTGTTGAAGAAGATTTTGAAGCGGAAAGGAAAGAAAGGACAAATAATTCGCTGTTTTGGGGTGAGTTTCAGCCTCAAATTATGTTTTGATGTTATGGTAACTATTGTTTAAGTTTAGCGACTATGATGAGTGACAAAAAGTTTGCGATTATTTATTATTTACGACAGAAAAGTGAGTTTGAAAGATGCCGATAGACCGGGGATTCAAACCAGACGAATGTGTTTATTTTACTTTTATACTTCTTTAATCTGTCTTTTTCTTGTTCTTTCTAAAAGCTACGTTTCACAAACATTAAGGAAGGTGGTATTTGATAATTGTATTCGCTGTATATCACCTTGACGACAAAAATAAGACAATGCCCTCGTCACTGCAACTGATAACTGGGAAATACATGAAATATACCTGGGATTTGGCTGGAATCTCAACGAACAAGTATCATTATCTGTTCTAAATGTTGAATATATCGGGCTAGTGATTGTTTTAACGTATCTAGCGGGCCCCACCCAAAGAATCTTTTTAAAAGGGTATTATATTGCCTGTCCTTTAGAGTGCAGTGTTGGCTGATGGCTGCCATGGCGGTGGCATGCATCGAGCCTTAGGCACTCTGGCAAAGGCAATCATACCATTGTTACAGAAAAAGAGTGGCTACGTGTTCCTCTTTTGATGGTAAATGTCCTGTGGAGTCTATAAAATTTATTCTGGTATAGTTTGAAGGGTACAGATTCAGTTCCATACAGTACAGGGTAAAGTTTGCCTCTGATGGGTAGAATAACAGAAAAACAGACGCTCTTTATCTATGGTTTTGCCTCCCCAGTTCCGTTACCAACCATCATAGAGAGAGGACGTGACTTTTTTTCCTCTGTGACCTGGTGACCTCAGTCTGCCAAATCACCCAGACAATGGGGCCCAAAGAGACCTTTCGATTTCAAGTGAACGAGTGCGTGTTCATGAAATATCTGTGAAGATCCAAAGCTACTTACAGTGAAAGTGGAAAAAAAAACATTAATGAATTCAAACCAGATATATGTGTAGTTATGAGGAATCTGTGCGGTCTCTACCTAACGCACCCAAGTAAATAGGTGAGGTCTGTTTGTGTGCGACATTTCAGCGAATGATCTGACCTCAGAAACACCTGTGTATACAATGGCTACCCAAGCCGGGTTTCTCTGTTGACGGAGATGGACATCTCAGCAAGTGATACGAATACTGAGAACGAACGAACAAAGAAAAAAGCAAAAAGACAATTGAGTAATGAGTCTGCAGAACTTGTATCCCCCAGCCATATGTGTGCATATTTCAGGAGGGACACGAAGCTAGTGACACATGGGACAAATACCGTTTGGGTGTCTCAAAGTGCTGAAGATGGCTCCTTATAACAAGAATAAAGGAGCCCTAGAATTAAGACTAGGTCGAAATAACATCTACGTACGCTGTAAGAATGAAGAAATTCTTAAACGAATAACCACGACCGGAGCGGCAGGAGAAATCCTCGAAATGAGCAGAGCTTATGGCAGAGGACACTGCACTAACCTCGTTGTGTTCGATGTCCCGAGGGAAATTGACACCAGTGAGATCACCGAATACAATGAAAAGATTATACACGCTAAACGCATTCAATTTAACGGATTAGAATGACACAGCGGCTCATTATCACTTATGAAGGGGAGAAAATCCCCCAAACCATCAAAATTGTGGAGGGCATGGCACCTTTCAGGTGCGCTGTCTTCAAATCCCTCACCCCATTTTGCGCCAACTGTTCCAGATGGGGGCACGGCGCACGTGCTTGTCCCCGCGAGGAGCCGCGCTGTCGGTACTGCGCGACCGCTCACAGGAGGCAGGGAGTGCGCCGAAAAAATCGCACAGGGTAATCGACTCCAAGGAAATGTGCCAATTGCAGATGAACATAATGCAAACTTCTCCATTATGTGCATACTATCCGAACGATAGAAAAACAAATTGCTAAAGAAACAACAGGCTGTTCTGCCTTCTCGCAATCCCAACCCATTTCCTCGTCTTAACGATGAGGCCGAATTCCCCCAGCTTGGGAGGATAAATGTGGCGAGGTATGCTGAAAGTAAAATCTCTCCAGCCGCACTATCGGCATCAGCTCCTGCTCCAGCGCCAGCCTCAAGGTCTGCTTCAGCCCCTTCAGTGCCAGCTTCAGCTCCTACTCCAGCGCCAGCTTCAGCTCCTGTTCCAGCGCCAAGCGCCAGCTTCAAGGTCTGCTTCAGCCCCTTCAGTGGCAGTTTCAGCTCCTGCTACTTCGGCATCGACTTCAGAACCTGCTTCAACACTAACATCGCTTTCGACATCTACTCCACATGTCTCAGCACACACAGCAGTTTCGGCTTCTGCACCTGCTTTAGTGCCACCGCGACTCCACAGGAAGACAGGACCCTACTGCAAATGCTGATGCAGAAAATAGAACAAATGATGTTCATGATGCAGCAACAATTTGCTCAACAATTACAATTCCAGAAAAAATGTTTTCAGTGCTCTTTGGACAACGGTTTACCCTTCTACAACCTGTAGAAATTGAAAATCAGGTGACAAATGATGGCCCACAGTGACTTTAAGTGTACCACAATGGAATATCAAGAATTACTGAAACATTGTTCATTTTTGTAAAATCGTGTATATGTGTTTTTTTTTCAGTTATTACATAGATAACAAATAAGGTGAGCACTAAGGTGCAGCCCTTCAGGCATGTATACTTAATGTTTGACTTTGGCCCTTAAGTCAGTATAAGTTCAGCCAGATTGGGTAGATGCTCGGCCATCTTTCCCTGGCTTTTTACAGGGCATGTAAACTGCTCTGTAAATAAATGTTTTCAAATCAAATCAAATCAAAGGGTACAGATTCAGTTCCATACAGTACAGGGTAAAGTTTGCCTCTGATGGGTAGAATAACAGAAAAACAGACGCTCTTTATCTATGGTATTGCCTTCCCAAGTTCCTGATTGGAAAAACACAAATGCTCCCAGTGACGCCTATCTTTAATTGTTTTGAGTCGCAGCTATGATCATTTTTGCTCGCACCCAATTTTCTTTCTCACAGATATTTTAATTCCAACATAATTAACACAACAAAAACAAAACAAAGTCTATGTATGTTTAAAAGCAGGCATGAATAACAATCTTCATTGTTAAGTCACTTCAGAACATCGATGTTAAGAGTCTTCTACAGCAGATATGTGTTACAACTGCATTCTTCAATATTTGGGCAGCTTTTCATTTCTGGTTTCATTTTCTTTATATTACTACTCATTCATCAGGTGATTATCTCAAAATTATTTACAGTGGCATTGTTCCGTTCAGAAGAGACAAACAGATAAATTGGAATCGCCATGCATAAAAAGATTGACAAAACCTCTTGTTGCTCGCCGCTTGCTGCCTGTAGTTCGCTGCTTGCAGGTCTAATACTTTGATGAAAAACTAACGCTGTTGTTCACACTATAAATGTCCTTTGCTTGTAGGTCACTGCCCATACATTGTTGTTGCTAGCTATGACATGTCCGTGAAAAACAATATTTTTTTCCAACTGTGCCCATGTTGATAATTAGAAAGTTTTGTTACACTTTGCTATACACTGAGAGGAATATGTAATGAATATGATTAAGATAAAAGAGAAAAAAATACACTCAATTATACATGAAATATTTTGTGTAGGCAAAAAATAACGTCAGAAATAAAGAAAAGAGGTCACAACAAGTGCTGCGCAGAGAGCAAGTCCAAATTATGGTTTGAGAGACCTATTGTTCGTAAAAGATGTCAAAATGAATGTTTTACTGTGCAAGTTTTGTAAATATTTCACAGCATAGATATTTTAACTATATGATAATCAGTCATCTTTTCTTAATTCATTTTTATGATAATTATGACCTCAGATATAAAAGCACACACTTTTCTGTATCTATAAAGTTTTCTTACGAACCTCTTCAGTGCTCCAAAGTGTAAGGAAAATCTCTTCTTGCAGGTTCATCTTAATAAACCAGAACCATGTCTGGGGTACAGAATGCTCTGCTGGAGGATTCTTTGGCCAGGCTCGATGCTGCTCTCGGCTCACCTGGAGGCGGTAATGAGAACCCCAAGAGCCCCGAAGACCCCACCAACAGGTAAATTGTTTGTAAAAGGATAAAATACAGGTTATCTTCTTGCTTGCATGCCTTCTTACTTGTGCAGCCGGTACAATATCTGGGTAATACATGCAATACCTTGTTTATAGTCTAGAGTATAAGGGGAAAAGGGGTTAAAATCCATGATTTTTAAAAGAAGTTATTAAAGAAATAGATTTTTTGGATGAGTTTTCACTTTTAGGATATTACCAAAGAATGCCGGTAATCAAGGAACATCGATAACATGTAGATAGGACATTGAAAAGTGTGCCATATGATGAAATATCATAGATCATTGTATAAATTCGTTTTTGTAAGTGCAATTACCTAAGTGATATATGATCACAACACATTTTTTCACTTCAGGAAGCAAGGTTGGACTGGATGTCATATCAATGGTAGGAGAGGAACCTTCCTTCTCCGCACCGGCAGTCCATGCATCTCACATTGGTAATAATCTTTGTGATGTTTAGTAGCTTGCTTTTGCCCTATCTTTTGTAAACATCATTTCAAACCTCTTGTCATGAATAACTTGCATTTAAAAAAACACAACAAAAAAAAAACAGTTTCATGAGATAGATTCAAGTACAGAGACAACGAAGCCTTTGTAAATTGATCCATCTGCCATTACAGGGGCCAAGAATTAGGCTAAACTAATGGTATCCCTGTTTCTCTTAGGCATGAGCATGATTGACAGCCCCAGCATGATAATGGAGGAGGTAACGGCACCTCCAATACATGCGACACTACTCGGAGATGCTACCTTGGACATGACAAGTGCTGCCCTCCTGGCTGACGATGATCCTGGTGTCCGAGCTACTCAGGTCCGATATGGTGGTCTTAGTTTTATTTTGATTATTTGTATGTTGCTCTGGTTATATGGATGTATTTATTTTTTAAAAGCGTACCATTATTATCTAATTATATCTCATTTTACAATCTTCAGTATTTGTTCTTTTAATTTCTGGTTGAATTGGCAGCCAAAGAGGAATAATTTATGTATAGCTTATGGCTTTGAATTGAAAGATTAAGATTAAAAAGAAAAGAAAAGAAATTTTTTTTTTCTTCTTCTTCTTCCAGATAATAGATATTTTGAAGAAAAAAAGAAATTTATTAGTTTTATTCCTCCTTACAGGTTCTGTTCTCAGAGTTCATAAACATTATGGTGGCCAACCCATCCGAGTCACAAGTTTGGCAGGAGCTGGAGCAGTACCAGGGTGTTTGTGCACAGCAAGTGGAGAGTCTGGCCAAGCTCCTCCGCAAAGCACCCAGACACCATGCTAATTTCACACGCACACAGCAGGTCAGATGTTCCCTTTTTTTTGGGGGGCATTCTTCATGTCCTTGCTGCAGAAATAGGCCTTGTGTTTCCCTTTAGTAAATAGTAAATAGATCTCTTCAACTAGTCTGGCAAGAGTGGCCTCTGTTACATGTTTTTTCTCAAATGTAAAGCTGGTCCTTAAAACAGGAAACTGAAACAAAATATTTTATTGTCACTAAAGGCAGGTCTGTTTTCAGACATTATCGATAGTCATGTCTAAAGTAATATTCAGGAAATGTGACACAAGAAAGAGCTTTTGGATAATCTGTTTATAACTTACACATTAAAAACATTACAGGTATACCAGCAGCTTCTTAGTGAACGAAACACGTGGCGACTCCTGGGATCACTGTACATGGAGAGGATGGGAGAGGAGGAGAATAACAGAGATTCCCCAATGTCAGGAGAAGAACCCACCACAGATTTGACAGTCGTCTCCCGTCTCTATGACACCAACAGAACTATCAGAGAGGTAATTATCTGTATATCTTTGATGGTTTTGATATTTTATTTTAAGGTAGTAGGAACAGAATAAATTAAAAGAAGTCATGGCAATGTTTTTCTTTTTCTTATTGATAGATAGATCCATATGCTTTTTCTTCCCTTACTTTTGTTACAGATGGTCAATATTTTTATCTAAATTTTCATCCTACTGAATTTGTTCCTTGTTTAAGTTATAATAAATAACCTTGAGGTCATTTGCATGTAGGATCTTTGTAATATGAACTAAAAGGAAAAATATGATCAGCTAATATGCAATTTTTAAGGTTATTACAATAGATGTGCATTATATGTATTGTCTTACTCATTTAGCCAATGTGTATTACGTGGGCCAAAGGACTTGTTAATGTTTTCTTTGGTTTATCACAGAAATTTTGTCTCATTTTTCCCCCAGTCCAGGACACACACACAACCCTAAACTCTCTCCACCGTCGGGTTTAATGCTTTCTATTTTATCGCCCCCCTCAGGCCCAGATTGTGATTGACTGGCTGGAGAAGAACGCAGCTGATGACTTTGACCGGAAGTTTTATGACAGGGTCGAATATTTTGGCGATACCCACATCGGTTGGAAACACTCTAAAAACACTGAAGGTATGTGTCATAATATAGATTTTTTATAGAAGTGATTTGGAAGGTAGGGTGACAGTTGATTTTCTTTTTGATTTTTTCTCCTCCTACTTCCTCCTCCTTAAGTTTGCTGATTCTACTCGGGTGTGGGTTTGGGTTTCTTCTCTCGATCTCCTTTCCTGACTTCTTTTCTCCTCCTCCTTCCTCCTCCTCCTCCTCCTTCTCTTCTCTCTTCTCCTCTCCTCCTCTTCTCTCCTCCTCTCCTCTCTCCTTCCTCCTCTCTCTTTCTCTCTCTTCTCTCTTCTCCTTTCCTCCCTTCCTCCTCCTTCTCCTTCTCCTCCTCCTCCTCCTTCTCCTCCTCCTCCTCCTCTCCTCCTCCTCCTCCTCTCCTCCTTCCTTCTATTCTCTTTCTCCTTTCTCCTCCTTATTCTCTCTCTCTTTCTCCTCTCTCCTCCTTCTCCTTCTCCTTCTCCTTCTCCTTTTTCTCCTCCTCCTTCTTCTTCTTTTTTTATTCTCTTCTCCTTCGCCTCCTCCTCCTCCTCCCTCCTCCTCCTTCCTCCCCCTCCTCCTCCTCCTCCTCCTCCTTATTCTTCTTCTTTTCCTTCTCCTCCTCTTCCTCTTCCTCCTCACCCCCATCTCTTTCTTCTCCTTCTCCTGCTCCTCTTCTTCCTCCTCCCCCCTTCTCCTTTTTCTTCTTCTCCTTCTTCTTCTCCTTCTCATGCTTCTCCTTCTCCAACTCCTCCTTCATTTTCTTCTTCTTCTTCATCCTCTTTTAAATTATGCTTGAAGTTTAAATGGAGATGCATTTATATATATCTAAACAGTCAGATCCTTTGTCATATATGTAATTATTTTTATACTTTTTATTTTTCTTCTGCTTTTAAGAAGTTTTGATATCTACTGAAGCCAAAAGAGAGTTCTTTTATTCAGGATAGACTTTTTTTAAAAAAACCCAAAAGAAAAAAATTATCATATTGCTATTTCTCTTGCTTCAGAGTGAGAGTAGCGGAGTGTCCATACCTTTCCGAGGAACACGGTCATTAGTCACATCTCTAGACCCAGATGCCCCCGTGCGGCAGGGGAAACCTCTGCATGACCTTGACCACGTAAGTTTGCTTTACACAGTAAGGTAGGGTAGTTGTAGCAATTACAATGTATGAATATGTTTATATATATATAACTTTATAAGTGTTTCTTATACCTTAGTATTGGGAGTGATATTTTTTGACCCATTAATGAGCTCATACGTTAATTTAGTCTTTCTAATCGTCATACTTTACCAACAGGAAGACGAGATGAGATTGATGAGGTGTGTATTTGTCTACGTAAGGTCGGGTCAGGTCGCAGCAGCAGAGGAGCTATGTGTCAAAGCAGGTCACCACTGGAGAGCTGCGACCCTGGAAGGTTGGAAGCTCCACCATGACCCTAATCCCCTGAACCCCTCCCAGCGCAACCCAATTTCGGGAAATCCATACAGGTGATTTATAGGATTGTCCCTTGATTAGAATTATGGGATACAAGTATACTTTTTGTATTTTCTTGTTAAGTAGTGTTATGTGATAGTACTATTATATTGATATAAACAGGAATAGTTATGATAGTGTTGTACAAGGTTTCTTCAAGTATGGGGCATGTGGGCTCTTTTTTATCAAAATATGTTTTCTTCCTACATTTTTCCAGACAAAAGCTGTAAAATGTATCCAAAAATAAATTATCATTCTTCTTTCATAGGGATGTATGGAAGGCTGTAGCCTGGCGAGCAGCTAGTGATGAACGTTTGCCTCAGTATGAACGCGCAATTTATGGGGCACTTTGTGGTCACCTACAAGCAGTTTTGGGTGTGTGTCATGAATGGCAGGATGTCCTCTGGGCATACAGTCGCACAATGGTTGACCAGTGGGTTGAGGAGCAGCTTCGAGGGGCAGCTACACACCTACGACCTTTGCACCCTCTCCCCAAAGATTTCCCAGAAGAAAAGTGAGTACTGTAGTACCCTTATGATCCCAGGGACTGCATTCCATGTGGATGGTCAAAGTAGACAACATGGACATTGTTTATGTAGATAGGGTAAAGTTTAATCTATAAAAGGAAAACACAGCCACAAAAAGAAATGAAATTTCTTATTTTGATGGTTTCCTTTTTATCTTTGTGTACACATTACAGTGTTTGTGCTTTAGTTTATATAGTACACACAAAACATGGAAATAATTCATAGAATAAAATTGTTGACATTACTGTAACAGACATGTGAATGTGGTCATGCCACACTGTAGAATCAATAGGATATTATGGTTTTTGCTTTACCATCATTTTTTTGTCCTTATTCAGTCTCCTGCCTTTCATTCACGTTATGATGATATTTTGATGTATCGATAATACAATGCCTACAGTGATAGTAGGAAATGATGTGAAGGCATTGTAAGATTGTGGAAGGCTTTTCTGGACCTTCTGACAGTGTCAAAAGCATTGTTTGATTTAGGTCATTTTGGTACATAGAGTGAAGCGGAAGAAAGAAGGAAAATTGATGTTGCAGACAAGAGTACAGTATTGTTTTTCACCGATAGGAATCACTTCAGGGCTTCTCTTTGGCTATGAAGAATTCTCGGTATTACTTTTGTGCATGGGGACAAAGAGCACTGCAATACTGTAGCAACAAATATGTACATACATATGGATACAGGCATGGGTACTCACAGGAAAGATGGGTGACCATAAATAGGATGACACAGATTTGAATTACAGTCTAAAGATGAAGAGGTAGAAATGGTTCTTATAGAGGTGCCAAATGTAAGACATGTTGCTTTTATATGGATGATATTTGGTCTAACTTTAACAAGAGTCATATGAATGGCTTATGCTAGGGCCATCCTGGGGGAATGCCATGGGAACTGTTATTTTTTTTTAATATTCCACTTACTGTTTTTGGGCTGTGGTAGACCATGGATAACCAAAGTTGGGATTACTGAATCAGCTTATACACTGTATTATTGGCAGATTCACATCAGTTTCCCTGAAGTAAAGATATTGATAATACTTGATACTATTACTTATGAGACAAGTTAAGGTGAATGCATGAAGCAAAATGATAGTAGTAGACTGTTCACATTAAACACTTATTTATCCTTGCAGGTTGAGCATGAAGGCATTGTTTGAGGCGTTGAGGCCAGAGGTTCAGCAGCAGCGTCACAACAATCCAGGCTGCAAAAGTACATCATTCTTGACGACGTGGAAAGCCTCCGCGCCCTGCTGTGCTCCACACACAACACACACTCTTCCTCAGGAAAATAGGAAGGATCTCCCAACAGCAAGAATCCCTGTGCACAGATATATTGGAAGCCTGTGTTAAGGTGGGGGCAGATGCTTTGGTTCATCGTGTCATTCAGGGGAATTGTTTCTATTGTCAATGATTGCATAAAATGGCTACTATATTGTAGTTATTGATATTTTTTTTAGAGAATTTATATCCAATTTTTGCAGTCTTGTATGAATATAAGATCTTTTACAGAGAAGTCATGAACTATTTATATTTTTCAGTTGAAGTAAGGTGGCTTTACTTATAGCAGCACAAATTGATTAATTTTATTTTGTATTAAAGGAATCTATTGAACGAGGTGATGTGGAGCAAGTGGCTTGGTACACGTCTGTCCTGCCAGTGTGGCTGCAGGTGGAATGGTACGCACGCTTCCTCCACAATATATCGGATGACCACCACCGCCGCCACGCCTTGCAACTGGCAGCCACTGTTGGCCTTGACACTCGTGCCATAACTTCAACTGTCGTGACCAACATAAGGTATACATTTGTTTTTAATGTGGGTTGATGGTTTGTGTTGGTAGATAAGTATTTATTTTTTTATTATTAGTATTTTCTTTTTTTGTGTGTGTGTTTGTTTTCTTTAAAGCTTAAAGAGAGGTACGTATCAAAACAGATTACTTATCATTTGTCTTTTTCCTTTACTACTGGAAAATGCTTCAGCGCACTTGGTCATTGATTCTTTTACTTGATGATACATAGATAAGTGTTTTTGATAATTTTACCTGATGAAACAAGATTTTAATGGACTGACATCAGGAATGTGCATTTTCCTTTGTGATTAGTTTTATTTTATATTTTATTATTATTATTATTATTATTATATTGCATCTTTTTGTTTTTTATTATTTTTTATTATTTCTTTCTTTTTTTTTATGCATAAAAGAGTTACTGATTGAACATGTATGAGTTTGGTTCCTTGCCTGTTATGATATAAAGGAGTAATCTTCTAATTGCCAATGTATTTCAGATTGTCAGGCAGTCGTGACCCAGAGAACGAGGTAGTCTCAGAGACGACAGGAGACGACAGAGTTAAAATCAGTGCCATTGACTGGCTCCTGTACGACCCCAAGCAGAGGGTAGAAGCTCTTCGTCAAGCCAATGCCCTTTTGCGAACACTTCTCATATCCAGAAAAATCGGTACTGCCAAAATTTTGTTCAAAAAGGTAAGTGTATTTTTTCTTTTTAGTTTGTTTGTATAATCAATATTTTTTTTGCTTCTGTATTCCTAACAATTTAGTTTTTTATTTTTATGAGCTGTTTATATTTTCTGTTCATTGCCTTTTATTTATTTATCTATTTATTGTATTTTTTATTTTATTTTATGTATTTATTTTATTTTATTAGTTATTTTATTATATTTATTTATTTATTTTATTTATTTTTTATTTATTTTTTTATTTTTATTTATTTTTTTTTATTTTTTTTTATTTTTTTGGCATAACAAGGAGCCACAATAGTAGAGGAAATTAATATAATCTCACATGATTTTCTGCCATTCCCTGCAGATTCCTAGTGACTCGGTGAACGTCATTATTCAAGAGCATGAGACGGAAACCGGATCCAGAGACTTAACAACCCAGTCTGATAATATTGTTCGGGAATATCTTTGTATCAGGACATTCCTGGTAGGTTAAATCAATCAATTTTTTTAAATATGTTGCTTTATAATGTTAGAGAAAGCCTGAAAATGATGTATTTAACTGCTGTAACTGCAGACACAAAAATAAGCAAGGTAGATGGTTTGGGTCTGTCATGTTCATGGTAAAAAAAAAAAAAAAAAAAAAAAAAAAAAAAAAAAAAAAAAAAATATATATATATATATATATATATATATATATATATATATATATATATATATATATATATATATATATAGCCTCTGTCTCACTAGTGGTATGAGTGCCCCTTAATTTCCCTTAGTAGTAAATTTTATGGCTAGATTCTTGTTGACTAAAATGCAAGTTATTATATTAAAGGAGCTTTCCTCCCATACATGCACAATATGGAATTACAGGACCATTATTAGTGTTATCCTCTATGTTTTGTATTTGTACGCCACAGACAGTTGTGACCCAGAGAACTGTGTTTACAATAATGCTCATATTAATATCACCAACCCATTTTAATTTGACTGTTTGCCTTTCCTCGGAACCTCAGGATGCCCAGGACTCCTTCACCGACTGGTTTGACCACTATCACCAGAAGAGGCCCCAGCCACCAAAGAAGCCAACAGCGGGCTCCAACTTCTCCCAGCAGGTGGCATACGAGCAGGCAGAGCAGCAGCACAACGGGGAGTTGGATCGATGGAAACACACCCTGTCCCTCATCACAAAAGTGAGATGTTCCACTCTTTCCATAGTTGTCAGTAATTTTCATGTCAGTCCTCAGAGCTAGTGTTAAATTTTAAAAGTTCTGTGGGAGTTGCATTGTCTTCCAGTACATGTTTATGCATTTGTAAAAAACATATGGATGTTTATAATTATTGTATACTGGGATTTTAGATCATGGATTTTATGAGGTTTTGAGTAGTGATCACAGTTTTTTAAGGGAAATACAAGTTTTGAATGAGCAATTGTCCTTAGATTCAATTGTTCTTGGAGGTTTTGGTTTTGTTGGTTTATGTTTGTCAATAACTTGAATCTTTAAGTGTAAACTATTGTTTAAAGAAAGAGAGAGAGAGAAAAAAAAAGAATCAATAATCAGAACTGACTTGTAAAAATACTTCTTCTCCAGACGGCATGTGATCGCCTGTACAATGTGCTTCTGTTCCCCGAGGGGGGATGGCTGGTTGACTCAGGCTTAGAGGACCAGGATGTCGACACCTCGGCTAAAGATACCAGCAGCAGCAGGGAGTTGAGACTTGACAATCAAGAACCAGATCGGGCCCAGCAGATGTCTGTGTTACGCTCAATCTACATCCCACAGGTAGGCTAATAATGGTAGTGTTTGTTATTCTTGAGTGGTAGGGATCCAGCTGGCTAAGTATTTTCCTTCAGTTGCATGACTTGATTATTTGTTGTGTGACCCTGATTACTTCATTTTGGTTTGTATAAGTTTCTTGGATATGTTAGGTATGTGTAATGTATGTAAAAATGTGTAAGTTGCATGTGCATTTTGATATAATATATTATTTACAGGCCATGTAATTCATATTAAAAAGAATACTTTGTTTAAAACATGCTTATCTGGTGCTTTTCCAGGTAACTTCCCTGCTGCAAAACATTCTACACTCAACAGAAAACTATAAAGAATCAGTTAGACTGGCAGACATCATTGCATCAGAGCAACATCAACTGTACAAGGTATGAGCAGCACTAATTTTATTGACCACTGGATGATGATATTGTTATATTTATTATTATTATTATTATTATTATTATTATTATTATTATTATTATTGTACACCATTATTATCATTATCAACAATACTATTATCATTTTTTAACATTCACTGGTATTATTGGCTTTAGTTTTTATTTTCAATGGCATATGAATTTATGACTAAACCTGTAACCATCAATTTGATTGATATTGGTGAGTACAATGGGAACTGTTAATAATAGCCATCTCCCTCTCTCCCAGGCCTTTGGATCATGTGAACTACAGCGGTTCTTGATAAAGCTTCAGGAGACATCAAGGGAATTACTCGACCGCAACTGCGATGCCCTCGGGTACCCACTCCAGTAACCAGTGTTCAAAGGGGAGAGTGTATGATACACCAGTGCACACTTCGACTGTATAAACTGTGAAATCTTTCTCAAAGACAGAAGGGGAAATATTTTGATATGATTTAGTTTGAAAATTCTAGATGACTGTTGATTATGCTTGAAGGGCATAGGCTCAACAGGTTGAAATTGTTAGGTTTTGCTAGTTTGATATAGTACTGCAGGAATAAGAGGGTCTTCAGTCAAGCTGAGAAAGGTAGAAAATCAGAAGGGAATATTTATTTTGTTTTAAATCATGGGGACTGAAAATGTCAAATATGTAGTAAAAATATGTTGAGAAATTTTATTACTTAATGAAAGTTGAGGAAAATGACAAATGTTAAAGATGTTTTCAGACATTGAAAGTCTTGTGTGATTACTACAGATGGTCCTCACCTATGTAGTATGTTTACCTGTTTTTATGTACATGTTCTATGTGTTAAGTTGTGATACATTAAAATAAGTAGTGTTTTAAATAAA